CCCCCACTCCAATGAATTCAAGAATAGCATCCCTCTAGGTCTTCTTTGCATATAGTTTGTGTTGCCAGTCTAGCGTCCACTCCTTTCACTCGAAGCGTCTTTGCTTTCTTTCTGTCAAGATGTAGCAAGCATTATTGAATTGTCATAGAACAGTAAACCAAAAGCACAGCAAATCGGAAATACTAATAGATCGTGGTACTTCGAACCACAGAACTGACTCAATCGATCAACAGGCTCTGAGTCTTGTGAACATTGTCCCATCCAATAATTGGGAAGTGGTTTCATTAAGTTGGAGCATTCACAAGTTAACAATGCGCCTTACGAGCTATGGACACCTCATTTCAAAGACTGACACACGGACATCTTTCTAACCTCACCCCCCCCCCCCCTCCCCCCTATAACCGCCATACTTTCACCTTTTTGTTGTCGTCAAATTCAGATACCCACTTGAAATTGCACAAGCTTTTGTATCTGCATTGGCAAGTGTAAATAACTTTAGTGTTAGCAGGCCGTAACTTACTGATCACATCCCTCAATTCAACGCCAATTACACTCCACAGATGCTAATTAAGGACTCTGGAACGTTAATTGTTGCTGTGGACAACCAGTAACTCCCATTTTCCATACTCCCCTTTGCCTATCCATGGATGAAAATTGAAATTATCACAATGACCTCATCCTTAACCAAGTCATCACACGGCGCTGACACAAGCTCAGACAATGGAAAAGGATGTTATCCAACATCTCGGAATAAAAGATTACAGTGTAAACTTTCAGAATAAAAATGTCAAATTCAAACAATTAAAAGAGAAAGATAATCTGAGGTCGGTTTCACTGACGATCTTTTTGCAGCGTATATTTTAAAGTAAAATATTTAATCATTAGGCCTCGACTCCATAATCGTTTTCAATATAAGGATAATCACAATCGGGGTAATTCTTTTCCTACTGTGGCGGAAATGGTGGTAGCGAAAAAGAAGGGGAAAAAGGGTCAAAAGTTTTCAGTGAGGATTGACTGGAAAAGTTCGAGGAAAGTGAGGAGCTCGTGGTTGAGGGCGGGGATACGGCAGAACCTGCACCACCCCCGAAAGCGGGGTCCGGGAGGTTTTCAACAACCAACCCATGAGTCGAAGATGATGTGGGTTGTTGTAGTTCCTGTCCACTGCGATTTCCGTCAATCACACTTCGCACTCTCTCCGCATACATCTGCCGAATTTGCTCCCCTCTAGCTTCAAATACGGAGCGCCTCGCACTCTCCTCCTCAAAGAGAGCTTGTAGTTGATCATTGAATTGTTCGCGAGAACGCACCTGGCGCTGCACCAGCTGTTGGAGTTGCTGTACGTTTGGGATATAAGAGAAAATAAATTAGACCTCATTCTAAAGAAGAGTATGGGCGTAATAACAGGAAAACGGTCTGGTGAAGATGTCAACTATCTAGCGAATAGCTATTTTCAAGATGTTCCCGTAAAGAAGGGCGGTTTTATACGAAGAGAAGTAGGAGATAAATGAAAGTTGGTGGTACATACGGAGTTAAGACAAAACTGTTAGGCGGCTAGGAGCCACGGCAAACTGCTGAAAGGTCATGATAAATACAAACTAATCTAAAAATGAATATTTCAAAGTTAGCAATGGTAAGACTAAGAAACGACTACAGTTAATGCGTATCTTGGGGCTACATAGGCCGCTAAAACAAATAAACGCCCTTGATTGAATGGTTCATATCAGTTCAGGTCCTCGCAATTTCCTACTCGGTGTTCCGTGATTTTCCGAACAAATATAGAAACTAAACGGTATAAACTCCACGACTAGATAGGCTTCCATGGGGAAATCGACCAGGAATTATAATAGTAGGCTTCATTGCATTCACAGTGAAATCACCTAATAGGTAATTAGCATTACATTAACAGGGAAGTAGATGATCGAATTATCATTAAACACGATTATCATGAAATCCACTACCCAGACTGATGACGGAGGAAATAGGGGAGAGGTTTGAACGTAAAAAATAATTCGCTTCTTGGCATTCAGTTCTTTTTAAATTGAAACCTCTGTTACTAAGTAAATTGATCTCGTTATTTTTCAAGACAATGGTATTTGTGTCCTTTGACTATTTATATTACTGAGCAGGTAGACAAAACAAGCAAATGAACTAGGAATGTCAAGCTTGCGCGATAGAGAAATAGCCGACACTTCAGCTTCAAATTGGGCAATAAACACTGAGCCAAATGCACAACATTCCATCTCAATTCATGAAAAACTCTTTACAATACTTCCTGTGTTCTCTATGCTTCGGGGGTAACTCTACTAATGCCGGCTGCAAAACTACTCGAGATAACTCTGCGAAAGACTCGTTGCATATCAACAACTATTCGTAGTTGTAAGATGATTACCTGGGCTTAGGAAAGAGTTTATTTGTATAGCATTAGACACAGATCAATAATTTCAAAAGAACTAAAATCACAAATATCTCCTATGGTACTTTTGCTTCAATTATAAAATAATATTAATTATGAAATTAAATTAGTACCGTAAGATATCCCTTCATAACAGCAGCTTCTTGTTTATAGTAAGCCGTAAGTGCTTGATAGCCTTCCGCCTTGATGCGCATACTATCCTGTCGAACTTTATTGTTCGCCCGGCAGAGCCGTACAGCTTTGTTGTTTCGTTGACGAGAAACAATATAGTCCAAAGATTTGCGCTTATCTTCTGGAACAGGGCGATAAACTCGTCGTGAATTTTTGGACTGATCTGAAGTAACACTAGCAGAACTTGAAGTCGAAGGATTCAACGTGTCAAATAACCCAGGATCGACGTAATTAGAGCTCATCTTGACCTATATTAAAAAAGGTTATTAATTTATCTTTTTAAATTTATTAAGATTCAGATTCCTTTAAGATAAAAGTCAACCCATAAATTTAATACATTTCCAGTTGAAGCATAATAAAGACGAGCGTCATCATACAAAGTTACAAATGGCGAAAGTTAAAAAATACAGTCAGAAAACAAGCCTTACCACAAGCAAGACAAGAAAATATCAAAGGTGCCGGTGTGAAAAGTAGCTTTGTAGAACTATGAACAAAATTAAACAGAATATTTAATCAAATCACAATTTTACTAAGTAAGAACCTCGAATCTGCAGTCATGATTTTTACTAAATTAAGTCTACTTAATTTTAAAGCAATTCTAATTATCAACAAAAAATAATGTTTTCCTATTGTTTGTGTTTCAGATATAGAAACTATCAAGAAATATGTTTCAATCAATTATAAAGAGATGATAAATCAGAATATGATGCCATCAATTTTCAGTAAGCCATGGGATTTTATGAAGTGTACACTTCACTTTGAGGTTTGTGGTCCGAAATCGCTTTGACAGATAAAGTTAAATTCAGCTGGAATTGAAGTTGAATAATTTCAAAATATGAGTTAGTAATAGATTGAATTACATAGTACTCCTTTTGGAACCAGTATGATGATTATCATTTACTTACTAAACAAATCTGACTCTTTAGATTATCTCTAATACCTATAAAAAATTTGTTCAAATATCATTTAAACCATCAAATGAATCTTATTTTTAAGCTTGAATCGATAGCTTTATTTCAATGTTTATGTTTTAATCTTCTGTTCTTCTGGCAGTAATAACAACTGAACATTTGTAGTTGGTCCTTCGCTAGATAAATCCCATTGGTAGGCTTATTCATCTTTTAAGGACTAGATATCGTTTCACTATTGATCACAGAAGGTTTTATTGTAAATGAGTTGTTTTTTTAACTTAAATGCGTTCATTTATGCAGTTTTTTCTCGCATCTCGGTTCTACTATTGCTATTTTTACATTTTCAGTCTCAGAATGTCTGACTTGAGCATTATTGCTCAAATTCACGAACCGCAAATATTTCTTTGCGGAGAAATGTTTCGCTGCGAAGTAACTGTTACATCGTCTAACTCGAAACTCTCCCGGTATGTATATTTAAAAATTGTTTGTTCTTTCATTTACGCACGAATATCTAACTTATCATTTCTTAGGACAATCAGAAATATCGAGGGCGTTTTAGTGGGCCAATATCGACTAAATTTACCCTGCCTTAGTGAGCATCTAAGTGATTCGTCTTTACTGAGCAATGATTTTAATAAATTGTCTATTGAAAAAAAGTCAAAAATTGGTAGTCATATATGTTTTATCCTTCTAACATTGCTTCCTTCAGGTGATGTGTATACATCCGGATTAGATCCTCAAAGCCATGTCTCTTGGATACATTTGCTGAAACCCACGACTCATTTCCCTCTCCAACTCAGTGCTGAAGAGCGATCTGTAAGGATAACTTTAAAAGCTCGCCTGCCAGAAAATCTCCCACCAAGTTATCGAGGTCACATAATCCGATTCGCTTACAAGGTTCTCATCAAGGTTGATGTAGATGATAAACCCACTCAAATCCTTCGCCTGCCTTTCCGCGTTTTACCGGCCGTTGCTAGCTACTATCCATTCGACTCCTCCTCAGCTCACTCTGCTTCTGATTTAACGAGTGTTACTTACAGTGAAAGTCAATCCGTCTGTGGACGTATTTCTGATCCATTTCACATAGACTTTAACGATCAAACTGCCTATGGTAACGACCCTTTTGATAACGGAACTGTTCAAAAGGCCGCCATGCATCCAGCTATTTACGAAAAGCTTAATCGGTTATATACCGATGATCAAGTCTCTTCCACTACCAATTCCACCAAGAAATCCAAGAAGAAGAATAAGAGCAGGAGGGCTAGAACAGCTTCCTTATCTCAATCCCCCTCTGCAATGTTTGCTGAACTTGCATCCTCTAGTTCTCTAGGTAGAAAATAATATTGGCCTATAATTTTTTCTTTTTTGTAGCTAGCTTTGTGATATCTGCTCCAAGTGGTCATATCTGTCGAATTGGGATCTTTAAAACGGTAACTAGGTTAGGAGATTCATTTCGTGGGTATCTAGACTTCCGAACAGCTAACCTCCCCTCATTCGAATGCGTTATACGAGCAGAAACTTATGAGTTCTTTGATCCCTTTCCTCAAACCGATATCTACCCCGATAAAGTTCTCTCTTTTTTCACTGTCCCAATAGATGTCCCCTCAGTTTCAAAAAGCAAAGGTACTTTTGCTTTTCATTAACTAACCTCTTTTGTCCATTTAGTTCTCAAAGTTCCGGCAAATGCAATGATGACTACGTGGTTTGAGACCAAATTGGAATGTGCCAATACGAAATTTCTCCCCTTTTCAATTCCAGTTCCTTTAAATGCTCCAGCAGAATTTATGCTGGCAAGTAGGTATTGGAGCGGAATTTGTCGAATTCATTGGTGCATTCGATTTGATTTTACTGTCGCCAAATTGAAGACACAGAAGAAATCCCTTTCAACTCCTGAATCGGGGCTCTACAATCTCTTTTTACGAGATACTCCTATCTCTGAGAATCCGAAATGTACTCCTTCAATTGACTGTGATACCCAGACCTTCCGTTGGGAATTGCCCGTGTGTGTTATTCCAAATGGTCCTATTGCTTTCTTACTTCCTAGTCATTCAATATCTACTTGTAATTTTGCAGAGTCGTGACTTTACTTGTATATACTTTATTCTATGTTGCTATACTTTGATATAATTTATAATATTTTTGCTTTATGTTAATTGGCTTCTTGTTCATATGCTTCGACTCGTTCAAGTAGCATCTCCGGGTAACCGGGAGAGTAGAACTTGACTACATCTTCAGGAAAACAGTTATTGATTGCAGCTATATGGAGACTCAGAGCAGACCCAGGTTCCGCATCGATTTCCTGGATCTTTCGAAGACTTCCACTCAACACAAAATCACGACGGGCTTTGGCATTTCGAGGCAAAAGTTTGCTAAACTGCGCCACAACGTATTTGAGAATATTTGGAGGTGAATTGTAGAGAATTGCTTGTAGGGCTTCCATGTCGATGCATTTTTCTAGGACTTGTTTCAGACACCGCTTGCACTAAAGGAGATGACTGAATTATGAAACCACAATTACCTTTTCTTTCAGACACTCTGAACTTTCTTGGTTTAGATAATTGGATAGTACAATTGGAAGGAGACCCATTTCTGAAACTGCATTTGCATGGTTTGCGCTATGTCGACCAATTAGCCCGATAGCCCAAATTGCTGCTGACTTTACTTCATCTTTCTCTTCTTGAAGAATGTTTTTCAACTGAACCAAGGCCTTAAAAGTTATTCATAACTATGAGTATAGTACATGAGCTTTGAGAACGTTCAGGGCCTGAACATCAGAATGTGCTGAAATATATCCAAGTGCCATTATTCCAGGAATAGCCAGGCCTCCTTTGGCTTCTTCGAGAAAACTAACTAAAGCCGAAATTGCTCCTGAATTTACAACCACTTGACAATTTTCGAAAGTGTGTTTTGTGAGTTCTTTAACTAAATTAGCGGCCTCCTTTCGAAGAGACATATCTTTATCTTTCATAGCAATTAGAACTTGAGGGAATATACTAGCTTCTAATATCAATTCAGCAAAATCTGGTGTGTGCTTAGCTAATTGGGCGAGTGAGGCAAAAACTTGTTTCTGAAGGATGATAGGAAATCGAGACCTCTTACTTGCAGCTTAGGACAAGTCTCCGTACTTTGTTTTACTAGATTCCAAATTCCAGAAACATCGACCACATTCTGGGCAAGATTAATGGAGTGTTTAGCTATATCGCCAAGGACACAGGCAGCTGCGCGTCTAAGATTTAGATCTGGTTCCTGTAAGCAGATAATGAGAAGAGGCAAACTTCCAGAATCAACTATCAATTGAGAGAGATCTTCGCCATGCCGGGCTATGCCACTTAGGCAAAGAGCTGCATTTTCTTTGACACAGTGGTCGAATTCTTCCAAGCAAGCGTTAATAACATTTAGTGTATCACATCGGATGACGGCGTATGCTAACTCTGGAGAATGTTTGATCGTAGATTGTAATGCTACAAGGGCAGATCTTTTATAGAACCTCTAGAAATAATAATCAAATAGAATAAATACAGTCTCCATTCCAGTAGAACTAATCATAATTGAAATCAAATTAGCTTTCATTATCATTTCAGCACACTCCTTGGAAAAGCTTGCAATCTTTCCTACAACAATTGCTGTTATTTGTTGAATGGTAGGTATAGAATCGTTGAGTAATGGACCAAGTTTTGATATAACATCATATTTTATTAAATGATTTATGTTTTGTGGTCTATTAGCCAAATCAGAAAGGGATTGAATAAATTGAAGTCTAGCTTTTTGATACTGCTCAAATACTATGCAATAAAATTTTATATACTATATTATACCTAAAAATATTTGCTTTTGGGTCATTTTGAAATATTCACAGCGTCCTAAATAGGTCAAACTAATACCAAATATTATATCAAAACAAGTATTGAAATCAATTTTCATTGCCAACTTAGCAAATTATAACACCTGTGAAAATTACAACTTTATATATTTTAATTTGTAATTAGGTTAAATAAAAGTCATTTGATATAGAACCATTATAATGTGCGAATTTAAAGTGATAAAAATTGTGCTCTTTATAGGGTTCTGAAAATAAAAAACATGAAACATTTAATTTGTCTTAGACTACTAAGAATAAATAAATAGGACTCTTGATTTTAAAATAGTTACAAATCCGGTTGATTAAATAACCTGACCTATGTATCTCTAAAGATAATCAGTGCGTTCTATCGTCCTTGTTACTATATATTTTAGCTCTGGGGATTATGTTTCTAGCATAATAGGCTTATTTAAGCCTCCTCCATGTAAAAAATTACGTAAAATATTTTGAATAACATGAAAATGGTTTTTACTGAATAGCATACAGTAGTACTATCATCCTGAAAATTTGCGAATGACCTCGGAAACTATTGAAAAATTGACTTTTACCTTTAACGAAAAGACTCCTTCTATTAAATTCCTTTTTAAACTTTTTGAAAAATTTCGGTTACGTTTTTTCCGTTCAAACCTTAACATTGAATTGTTCTGACTACCCAATAATCTACAGTGCTTTAATGTAGCTCATCTGCATGTTCTCTTTTCATTCATACCTATCTGGAGCCAAATGTAATTGTACTCTGCATTTACACTTTAGAAGATACCATACAAATATGCACTTTGTCAAACCTTGGTAATCATTTTTGCTCCAAACACTTACAATTGTCTCGAACATGTAGCGGATTGCTACCTTCGTAAAGCCTGACTCAGAAACCTCTATGGCAGATTCTCCAACATCTAGCTCGTCTCCCAGAACAACCTAAGCTATAGCCCAGCTATAAGGGAAACAGACGTGTAGCGCGGAATACGTTTATTCGGTACGTATATTGATAGCGAATTGATTTGGCAAAGCGATTAGTTATCAGATAACTCTAGCATAATTCGCTTGAACTTTAATAGCTAAATATTTCTGAGTAGTACTCTATAGCAGGATTTCTATTTGGTCATTGATGAAGTGTCCCACAGGTGTATCCTCTAGAACAAAGTCGCTCAAAAAATTAGTATGGGTTTCTCTCTTATGTAGGGACAATATAGGATGTACAGAGTACAAAAAGTCATTTGTAAAAATGGACTTAGTGCCAGCATGTTAAGTCATTAAATGCAAATAAAGCTACGTTTCGCTAATAGTGGTTGGAAGTCATCTGCATACGCACCCCCACTTCACAGAACGCTCCTATGTCAGACTTAATAGCATTATGGGCTTCACAATGCTGATCTTGTGTAAGAATATTCCAGTGATCTTGATAATATCTTGTAATTCAATAATAATATTATTTAATCTAAAAATAAATCGAACATTCTTAAATGCCACTATTTCGCAAATCTTAATGATTGCGTAAATTTCAAAATCGAAAGCCTGTTAGTGGTCTGGATGATTAAATTACGTATAAAATCCTTTTTTCGCGTTCATCTTCATCTAGACCATTAAAAATGAAGCCAATCAAACATATATTTTGAGAATATTTAGCAATAAAAGGACACAAAACCGCTTCATGTGCGCAATTCACATTAGGACCCATGTGTATCGCGTATGTTTGAAGCAGAATTTATTAAATATAATTAACAGTACATATTCCTTTCACTGTCTATTTATAACTTGTCAAAATTTTAACCTACTCCTTCTATGGCATATTGTTCAACATGTAGCGATATGTTTGCGTTTAAGTCAGTAGTTTAAACCTCTTTTACATTTGAATGAAAATTAGTCTAGATGATTGCAGTCGCTTCGAAGTTGGAACATTTCAACGCTCTATGGTTGTACGCTGTAAATACTAAAGCAGAGACCAATAAAATTTATAGTTGGTCATTTGTCAATTGGTATTCCCAGTCAACAAAATTGTGGTAAAAAAGTTATTAGCACTTGCTAAATTAAGCTGTTGACACAGTAGCCTTGACACTTGTTTTAATTGAAGCACTCAACTGCACTCTTCACATTCACTTCATCTGATACATCATAAAGGTTTTAAATCAATGTGAAACGATAAATTACGTGTCTATAATCTTCCAGAGCGATAAAGGACGCAAATCTTGAAACAAAATTTCCTAAGAAATTTTATCGGGTTCCGAATAAAGTTCGAAAAAAGTATCTTCGTGTTAATGCAAAATACGTGTGCTTCCACAATTAGTTGTCATTTTGAAAATTTCAGTCATAATTCAAGCATAATAGTTGTTAAATTTCATAGTTTTCATTATAAATTTTAGTGGGGAGCACTTAGTGACATCATACAATTGAGACAATGAAATCTGAAGAGTCCTCTTAATTTAGGGTGGTGACAGAAGCCATTTGCCCTTGGATAGTCAACATGCGCGTCAATAAGGTCAGAAGTTGATGAATCTGAGTAAATAGAGGTAAATTCCGTAACCTTGTCAACCCATACGGGCCCATGTCAGCAATCAGATAAAATGGACACTAAGTATGAATCAATGAGGAAGCCACAATGCGAGGCATAATAATCTTCATATACTCTGTTGAGGAAGTGCATTATGGCTGTCGAGACCGTGCAATCGTTTCCTTCCCCCCCCCCCCCCAATTCTTCATATTTCTTGGTCTTTATTTCAGTCTTTCACATACTTTATAGTCTTTAAGAGCTTTCGTATTAACTTGGCATCCATAGATCCCTGAATGTGTTTATCGCTACGCATCCAGTAATTTTCGACTGATTAACTCAAGTCCAACACGAGGGTCGGTAGAATATCGATTTCTCATAGTAAAGGCTCTGGGTGACTCTTTCACTACCCTAATCAAGTGCTACAAACACTTCTCCCAGAAGACTCAGGAAGCTTATTCATAAGATCTCCTTGGTTGAAAACATTTAAAACGACACAGACTACTGAAATGCACATGGAACATGAATTATTTTTTTCTTTATTTTAAATGGCAGGTTTTATGATATTTATCATTAGCCCTTACACTTTGACTTCAGCTTTCCCCAATAAATTGAGGTCAAATTTTTAGATTATAGACTTTTTTTGCCGTATGAATATATGTTGTCCAGAGTGCACCACGTGGAGGTAAGTCTATCGCACACCCCCAGGAACATGAATAAAATGAATAAGAATTTCCAAGAACACAGATTTATGCTTATTTGCATTTATTAATAATGCAGTTCACCGTGAGTCAAAGAAAAAGTACATATCGGTGGCAAATAGTCCTTATTATATTCTAACCAGCGACAAAGCTAGAATATTTGGTATTGTTCATCACAGGTTAGGGAGTAAAATCGGGTGTAGGTAAGAGTTTGAATGTGATACAGGGGGGGGGGGAGAGAAATAGAAAGAATGAGAGAGTGAAATTAGGGTGTCAGTGGGTCTTCCCTCATTTGGTTTTGACTGGAGTCATGAAATATTTGCCTATTGGGTGGATCGCAATCTAAAAACTTGACTCTTAAGTATCGTCAATTGGAACACGGAGCAAACTCTTGTCCACGGTATCTAGTGCTTGTTGTCGGGTCGTCCAATTATGCTGGTTCTTCCTACTAATTGAGTTGATTTATTCTTCAAGGGGAATAGGATACAGAACAAAACTGAACAATATTAATGTGCTCATGCGATCTTCAAATCACATAGCTTCCATTTATATGTCTTAAAAGCTCACAATAGGCCCCATGTATCAAACCCTACCACACCACACTGACGGTAAAATGCATATGTATGTATACCTATCTACCTACTCTTTTTTTCTGGCCTGGTATTTCAAAAATAAGTGTATCAAGGCTAGTCATCTAATTCGAGGTGTCTTTTACAGCATCAGTCTCATCTCTTAATGCGGTTACCCACACTCCCTTTAGAATGTAATGCTGATATCCACAACATGTGAGGTGCCTTACAACATACATGACAACCAATCATAAATTTTATATCTGACGGACCATTTATTTAAGGAGCCGAAGTGATGTGATTGGTCAAATTAAAATTTTGAATATTTTAGCCCGAATGATTATCGCTTTGGTTTAAAATATACGTCTAAACGTAACCGAAAGGGGCAAATACATGTATATACCAAGTTTCAGGGTTTTAATGGGCAAATCAGCGTGTGAAAAATATTAAGCACATAGCGACAAGTATAAGTAAGTATATCCAACTTCATTGAGATTAAGTGTTGGATAAAGCGAAGATAATATGGAATCATTTCTAGTTGTGAGCTTTCAAGGCACTTTGATAAGAGAAAAGAAACGAAAATAAACAAATTTCAACAGACTCTAGAGACACGGAACTTTAATCACCAAGTGAGTTAGAATCTTTATTTGATTGCGATAAAATGGTAGAACTTGCAACTAAATAGATAAATATAAGCTTTAAAAAGCATATTTCTGAGAGTTGTAATTTTATAGTGATCGATGTTCTTTCAAAGCGAAAGTGAAGCGAGCAAAGGAAAAAGTGGCAAAGATGGAACTGTATGATTCAACCCGACATAACCCGCTTACAGCATATAACGCATACTCAATTTTCATGGGATAAATAAATGAAAACTGGGTGTACCCTGGATAACGTATACTCATAAGACAAAATAGTCTATAAAGCTGCAATTGACTTCAAACTGCCATGACCCCACTGTATGTCATATTCCACCACTTCCACAGTACTCACCTTACTTTACCATTTTCTCCACCTTTGTGTCTGCCCCTTTTACATCTATGAATCACTCTTCTGTTTCCTCTCTCCACTTTTTGTGACTATGATGTTTCTCCCCCTCTGTGAAACTCGAGGTCAACCGAAGGGCTAATTATAACTATCATAAAGCCTACCATTTGATATAAATAAATATCCTAAAATAAATCAAATATTTTGGGCCAAATAAGTTGAGTTACAACAGGCCCTTACAAAAA